GGGGGGGGTTGCACTCGTGTAAAATTACTGTGCTCAATAATTCATTTACAAAAGCATCATTGTCAGCTGTCAGTTAAAGCTGATTTTGACTCTCGCTTTTACTGTAATGTTCTTGTGTGAAGGCCTTTTACCTATGCTTTCCAGAACTAAGACAACGTGTTATAGTCCTTCCGTTCATCGCAACAGTTGAAGTTATATAATAATGGCACTCCCCTTGAATCATATGCAATCATATTGTGTCAAATTCAACATACTTCGTGTTATATTTTAATAACTAATCCATTCTGCAGGATCTTTTAGTAGGCTAAGATTTACTCTCCTGGCTGTTTAATAATCTTCTGTTATTCAGCAAAACATCTGTTTTTGTTTTGTTTTGTTTTTGTTTTGTTTTTCTCCAACGACCCTTCCCTACCCCTCCCCTTAACCTCCAACCAACCGCCTTTCTTGATTTTTAAACTACTAGTAGGCTTTAATAATAATATTTGTGCTTCACAACTTGTCTACATGGGGATCAAAACACAAAGTTCATAGACAGTCCTTATCAGACACTCCCCCCTCCCCTTTTTTTCTCTGTGTTTTTTTTTTTTTTGTGTGTACTAATACACCCGTCTCATGTTCACGTTTTATATACTTCTTTTCTAGATCTAGTAGTATTTTACAAGCTAAACACGAATACGGTCTTCATTTTTGCCGAACAATATGGGGGTTTCAGGGGGGAGGGGGGGGGGACTGACCTAAAAAGAATCTAGGGGGGTTTCAGGGGGGCATGACCCCCTGCATTTCACAATGATTTGATGTTTTGGCAATTAGGATTGATATTTACTTGAAAACAATTGATTTGCAAGGGTTTTAGTGGCCATACGTGTGTTCTACAGCAAAAATTGTGGCAGTTTAAATTAGCCCTCAATAAATCAAAGTATCTATGTGTGGGTAAAAATTTACCTTTTCTCTTTCTCTTCTCTTCTCTCTCTCTCTTTCTCTTTCTCTCTCTCTCTCTCTCTCTCTCTCTCTATCTCACACACTCTCTCTTTTCTTTCTCTCTATATATCTTACTTTTCCTCTCTCTCTCTCTCTCTTTCTTTTTCTCTCTCTCTCTCTTTTCTTTTACTTTCTCTCTCTCCATCTTGCTTCTCCAGGCCAACCCCACTATCTTTGTCCCTCGTTTTTTTGCACAAATCCCCTCCCATACCGTAAGCCCACTCCCCAGCCTTACTTTCCTTTGTGAAGAGGGAGAGGGAAGGGTCCATTTGTAGTAGCCTGAGGTCCTTGGCCCTTGACCAAACCAGAACTCCCCCAAAGCCTACAAACTACAAAGATCTTACGAAATGTCATTGGCTGAGACTCCAGGAGGCCTAGGCCTATTGCTCCAATCGATGCTAACATTGCAAAATCTTCGGTCAAAGAGGTCAAATGAAACGTTCGTTCTGCATTTGCCATATTGGCATTGGTTAAAAACTTAAAATTCTTGTTTTGTAATTCTTGGACATCACATGGTTAATCTATTAAAAATATTATAGCTTTGATTTTTATACTCCATTGAGAATAAGATCCATTCAGAAGTTGCATGCCTTTGAATTTTTATATAACTGATGAAATAGGGAGTTTTGTCTTCGAATAAACTTTAAATTGCCCCATCCTGCAGTGTATCCGGCAACCTTGATTGGCAAAACTGAAAACATTAGGGATTTCTCTACCAAAGACTGACATTGCGATATAAATGAGGAGGTTTTGTTGTATTTAGGACGGATAAAGGCCTGGTTTTTTCTTATTTGTTTTATTGCTTTTATTCTGAGCGGACAATACACCCTGTGAGACTCTTAAGATCAAGAATTTAGGAGGCCAAATTTATTTCTAGTCACGTCCTCTGGGTGTGTCTTGCTACTTGCTTGCTGTCTGGGCCAACAAGGTCTTCTCTTCCAACACCAAGACAGTCTAAGATCTACTCTAAATCTAGAATCCTAAGTGAATCTAGAGTCTAGCTTGCCTTGATCTAATCTTAGTTTTACTATTTTATAAGAAGACTGTGTGTTTCCTTTTCTTGAGATCGAGATTTTTGTACGCATAAAAGTTTCTTACAAGACCCGTGTATCGGTCTTCATTGCCGTCATTGGTGATCGCTGTGGCTGTGGACCTCGAATTAGGTGCGGAACAGTTCAACAGGAACAGAATTCAAGCGTTCGAACAAGGGATTTGAACAAGAAGCGAGAACACCGACAGCGGCGACAGTGAGACACACACACAGTGTTAGTGTTAGATCTACGCACACAGTGAGTAGACAGAGGTTTTAGTTATTTAGCAGATCTAGATCTAGATATATAGATCTAGATATCTAGAACGAAGTGGCTAGCCGTACTTACAACTACGGCTAGACTGAGACTGAGAGTCTAGCCGTACTTAAAGAAAGTACGGCTAGACTGCCAGTCTAGCCGTACTTAGATCTAGATCTAGGTTTGGCCCAATCGACTCTAGCCTGTTAAGTACACAGGTCTCATTAGATCTAGATTTAGATCTAGATCTAGTAATTATTCAGGTTCAAATACATGCAAGTCAGTAAGGCACCTTTTGGTTTTGTCTGAAATACAAATACTTTAGGCATTGCAAACTAAAAATTTCATTTACAATTCAGCCATCAATATATTAAGGCCACCTCTATTCTCACCCGGGTGCAGGCGGGTCTTGGGGCTATTCTCACCCGGTGCGTGTGTCAACAAATTTTGCGTTCACCCTAAACCACAGAATTCTACACTGTGATAAGAGAAAAATTGTAGAATTCTGTGCTGTGAACAAACGTTCCATTACAACTGTACTTGTAGCCTACTAAAAGCGTACAATTTTGTCTGTGGGCAGGGGAGAGAGAGAGAGTGAGAGAGAGAACAATACAAAATGGCGACCCGCGTAGTTCGGCTCGATTCGAAAAGTTAAATAGCCGTAGCATCTTTGTAGACAACCAAATTAATTTACTTTTGTGTTTTAACATCATTTTTTAACTTTGTTTTGGTCAATTTGATCGTCCACACCGATAGACAGTATTCAGAAAGAGACAGAGAGAGAGAGAAGAGGGGAGGAGTAGATCTTGCGAGAACTTCCGGGCGGGTGAGAATAGCCACTTTCATATATTAAGTACGGCTAGCCTGACAGTCTAGCCGTCCTTAAGTACGGCTAGCCTGGATGTCTACCCGTACTTAAGTACGGCTAGACTGCCAGTCTAGCCGTACTTATCTTAGGCCCTATTTACATTAGAAAACAGGAGGTTTAAAATACATGCACTGTCATTATTAAGGCCCCTGGTTTCGTCTCAAATACAAATACTTTAGGTACTGCACACTAAAATGTATATTTACATTTCAGTAGGCCTATTTTTTGTAAATAGGTCAGTCTAGCCATCATATTAAGAATAAGTACGGCTAGACTGCCAGTCTAGCCGTCATTAAGTACGGCTAGCCTCTTCCTATCTAGAACTCTAGACTAGATCTAGAATCTAGATCTAGATCTAGAGTACAGTTGCCCCTTACCAGCCGCCTAACGCGCGATAGTGCCTCCCCCCGACACGCACACAGCCACACGTGTGCAGGCTGCCCATCCGGCCCCGACACACGCTAATGAGCCATCTCTAATTGCTTCTGATGACCTCTTGACAAATAAACATTTATTAAAAACGCTATAACTTTTCAGGCCGGCCTCAAATTCATCATAGATAAAAACTCGGCTCCTGCTCAAAACGCCATTTTGCCCGAAGCGATCCCGGTCTCTACCCAGCCTGAGGCAGGAAAGGAAGCCGGAGTCAAGAGTCACAGGAAGTCGGAAGTCGAAAGTGATGTCATGCTGGACAAGAATCAGAGTCCGAATAACATTTTTTAAGTACGGCTAGACTTCTGGTTCAAAGGCCCAGCCGGTGGGATCAAGGATCGTTTGTTCGATCGACAAGCAGTGGTCAAAACTTCACACCTCTCAACTGCTATCCTGTCTGATAGTGACATGCGTCAGTCTTACTTTTCCAATTACCACCAGTTCTTGCCTTTCATTTATTAAAAACGCTATAACTTTTCAGGTCGGCCTCAAATTCATCATAGATTAAAACTCGGCTCCTGCTCAAAACGCCATTTTGCCCGAAGCGATCCCGGTCTCTACCCAGCCTGAGGCAGGAAAGGAAGCCGGAGTCAAGAGTCACAGGAAGTCGGAAGTCGAAAGTGATGTCATGCTGGACAAGAATCAGAGTCCGAATAACATTTTTTAAGTACGGCTAGACTTCTGGTTCAAAGGCCCAGCCGGTGGGATCAAGGATCGTTTGTTCGATCGACAAGCAGTGGTCAAAACTTCACACCTCTCAACTGCTATCCTGTCTGATAGTGACATGCGTCAGTCTTACTTTTCCAATTACCACCAGTTCTTGCCTTTCATTTATTAAAAACGCTATAACTTTTCAGGTCGGCCTCAAATTCATCATAGATTAAAACTCGGCTCCTGCTCAAAACGCCATTTTGCCCGAAGCGATCCCGGTCTCTACCCAGCCTGAGGCAGGAAAGGAAGCCGGAGTCAAGAGTCACAGGAAGTCGGAAGTCGAAAGTGATGTCATGCTGGACAAGAATCAGAGTCCGAATAACATTTTTTCATATTCGGACTTGAGTCCGAATAGTCACTTCCACTTAAGTACGGCTAGCACTGTTTGACCTATTAAAAAACAGAAACGTTTGAACTTCTATTTTGCTTCCACCCTAAGCCCCACCCACCAATGCCACCCCTCACTGCCATCATTGTAACAACGATTCAAGGAACTCCTAAATTCTCGGCTGGCCGTACGATCAGGGCGGCAGGTATTGGTCAATCTAATTTCACACCTCTGGCTTCTGGCTACCAAGGAAATTTCCACGGTGGCTGGCTACTCGAGCACTCTCACGGGCAGTCGTGAGATTTCACACCCACACTACACTGACCATCTGCATCGTTCAGGGCTCACATGATGGGGTAATAGGGTAACATCTACCCCCAAATTGTAGCGTTAAGTTTAGAGCTGACAGAACCAAACTTGCGAGTTTTGTTTCAAATCAGGGCTGAGAAGGCGAAGCATTTTCCATCTTAGACAGGTGAAACCCTTGGAAGGGAGCGAATTTTTCTTTCCGATTCGGCGTTGGACAGGTTTCCGTTTTATACAGGTAATTAAAGAGGAATATATATCAAGGGGGGAACGGGGAGATTCCGTTTTACACAGGTTTCCGTTAGGGCAGGTTCGACTGTACAGTATTTTTTGCGAAGTTGCAGATGACGTAGCCTCTAAAACTTTATTTAATTGAAACAGTTATAACAGTTGAGATCTAGAATCTAGATCTATAGTCGACAGTACAGACCCGGTAACTGGGAACAAAGTCAGATCCTGTAGGGGAAATCTTTTGTGATTTCGGAAAGTTTCAGTGCTCAGACCCGGTACAGGAAATCTTTTGTGATTTCGGGAAGTGACAATGTGTGTGTATGTGTGTGATTTCGGAAAGTTTCAGTACTCCGATTCAGTACAGAAAATCATTTGTGATTTCGGGAAGTGACAATGTGTGCGTGTCACAGTGTGCATGTGTTGTTGTGTGCGTGTGTGTGTGAGAGAGAAAAAGAGAGAGGAGGGGGTAGAGAACAGGGGAAAATGCTAGATCACATGCCCCAGTTGACAGGAGGGAAAAAGAGAATGAAGTGGCTATTTGACTCGAGTTCGAACAGCCGCTGGAGGCTATTCGGACTCAAGTTTCTGTACCCGTGCGCAATCACCGGTTCTACCGTTAGCGAGGTCTGTACTCAAGACATAAAATTGATAATCAGTCTTTATTTTAAGACAGCCCACCTCCCCTTTCTCTCTCTCTCTCTCTCACTCTCACTCTCCATCTCTCTCTCTCTCTCTTTCTCTCTCTCTTTCTCTCTCTCTTTCTCTCTCTCTTTCTCTCTTTGAGACTCTTACTTTTCTGTTTTCTTTCTCCATGCTTACTTCACCAGGCCTGCCCCACCCCCTTGACCCCTTTTGTTTTTTTATCTCTGTATTCCCTCCCATACCGTTGCCCACTGCCCGGCCCTGCTATTATAATTTAATTATTCTTTGTAAAGAAAAGACCACAGTTCGCACTGGTTCACCACGGTCGGCGTCCATTTGTTGTAAGATCCTTGGCCAGATTGTAGAAACCGAGGAAGGCCAAGGTCGAATTGCTTGTCTGCTTCACATCCGGTACTTCTAGTGATTGTGCACGCTGATTGGAGTCTGAATAGCCACGGAAGGCTAACCTTCGGACTCGAATTCAGACTTGAGAGTCCGAATATCCTCCCGCGGCTGTTCGGACTTCTTGAGTTTGAATAGCCACGGCCCAGAGAGAAAGATAGAGTGAGAAAGTAGGAAGGGGAGAAAGAAAGTCAGGGACAAACGAAGAGAAAGAGAATGCGAGTGGTAGTGGTACACAGAGGAGAGAGAGAGAAAGCAATTTGCTTTTTGATTCTTTTTACTTATATATATATATACACACGTTGTATGTATCTTTGACATAATATTGAAAGAAAAATGTTGAGTACGCATAACGTACTTAATAACGGCTAGATGGCTAGGCTAGCCGTACTTAATCAAACAACGATGGCTGGACTGACAAACAGCAAAAAATAGGCCTACTGAATTGTATTGTGAATACATTTATAGTTCGCAGTACCTAAAGTATATATTTAGTATTTGAGACGAAACCAAAAGGTGCGTTACTCACAGTCCATGTATTTTAAACCTGAATAATTACTCAGAAGACCTGTGTACTCCACAGATTTTGGTTAATAGGGCCTTTACTTAAGTATGGCTAGCCCTTGTACTGGACTGCTAGACTGGCAGGCTAGCTGTACTTTATAATGATGGCTACATTTTTATTTACATTTTAGTTTGCAATGCCTAAAGTATTTTTGTATTTCAGACGAAACCAAAAGTAAAAGTTGCCTTACCGACATGCAGGGTTGGTGATTTAATTTATTTTAAAAATAATAAAAATGTAAAAAAATCGATTTTTAAAATTTAAATCAGATTTTTTAAAATTATAATTTATTTTTTTTAAATGGGGTAATTATGCATAAAGATAAACTTGCATTTTTATTACAGTGTGTGTCTGCACGCTTTTGTGTTTGTCTAAAAAGAAAAAGTAAAGGCTAATTTCAATTATGAAAAAAAAGTAAATTGAATATTGTATTATTTTACAGTGACAGGGGGGAAAGCAGACTTTTAAGCATGATTATATTAGTCTTTTAAACCATATATATCTGTTTTATAAAA